GTGGGCGCAGTCATTGAGACTGAGGCCTTCACTCATGGGATCTAACACCGACTCCGGGCAGGTAGCACCAGAATCGTGGGACACCCAGCTTATGTGAGAGAACTGGTCAGTGTGAGGGAAAAGTAACCCATGCATTTGGTGTCTGAAGAGTTGTGAGGGCAGAAGAAAGAAAGCAATAGTTTACTTTTATGCTGTTTATCAGATTTAAGAAGTTTATTTTCTACTCCCAGCTTTCCCAATTAAGGGATTAAATTTTTGTTAGAGTTTATGCTTTTAATGAGATGCTATTATGGTGAATTACACTGAATGACTAATTTTGCCTTCACAGGAAGGAGCATATTGGTCATGATGCATTATATTCAATGTATTACTAGATTTGATCTGTTATTTTGTTAAGAAATTTTGTATTTATATTTAATAGAGTTATTAGTATGCGCTTTTCTTGTAATGTCCTTGTCAGGTTTTAGTATCAGGTTTGTCAGGGCCTCATAAAACACATTGGGAAGTTTCTTTCCCCCACCCTTATTTTCTGAGTTTATGGAAAATTGGTATCAGTTCTTCCCTCAATGTTTGATAAAAATCACCAGCCTTAAAGTTTCTTTGTGGGAAAGATTAAATGTTCCCACAAAGTTAAATATTTTTAACAGTTATAGGACTGTTTAGATTTTTTTTAACTTCTTGTGTCAGTTTTATAATTTGTGTTTTTAATGGATTTTTCCCATTTCATCTAAACCAGAATATTTATTGGCATGAAGTTTTTCGTGATATTCCCTATTATTCTCTTATGATCTATATGGTCTGTAGTGATGTATTTATTCCATTCCTGATATTGGTAAATTTGTGATGTGTTTTTCTCCTTTTTTATTTTTTGTTCAGTCTTGATAGAGTTTCACTTTTTAAAAATCTTTTTAGCCCTGGCCGGTTTGGCTCAGCGGTTAGAGCGTCAGCCTGTGGTCCAGAGAGACCAGGGTTTGGTTCCCGCTAAGGGCGCGTACTTCGGTTGCAGTTTGTCCCCGGCCCTGGTTGGCTGTGCGGGTGGCAGCCACTCGATGTGTCCCTTTCATGTCGATGTTTCTCTCTCTCTCTCTCTCTCTCTCTCTCTCTCTCTCTCTCTCTCTTCCTCTCTCTCTCTCCCACTCTCCCACTCTGTCTGAACAAAAAATGGAAAAATGTCCTCAGGTGAGGATGAAAAAATAAAAATAAAAAATAAATAAATAAAAAAAAATCTTTTCAAAGACTTACTTTAGGCTTTGTATCTGTTGCCTATTTATCATTTCATTGTTATTCATTCTTGTATGTTTTCTTCTAATTAATTTGAGTTTAATTAGCTCATCTTTTTCCAGCTTTATATAGAAGCTTAGATCAATATTTTTAAATTTTTCTTCTTTTCTAATATAATCATCCAAAGCTAGAAATTGTCCTCTAAGCACAATTTTAGCTACATCCCACAATTTTGAATTCACTCTCATTTTGCCTGAGATATTTTCTAATTTATATCTAAGTTGTTTCTTTGACTTATGGGTTATTTAGAAATACATTTGATTATTTCCAAATTATGGAGTTTTTCCTGTATCTATTGGCAACTAATTTTTAATTTAATTTGTTACAATCAGAGAAATGCTCTCTATGATTAATTTCTTTGAAATTTTTGAGATTTGATTTGTGTCATATCATATGGGCCTTCTACAGATTTGTTCCATCTGCATTGGAAAAAAATGTTTTTTAAATATCAAATAGATCAAGTTGATTGATAGTTGTTGGTCAAATCTCCAATATCCTTATTGATTTTCTCTATTTGATATGTTAATATAATGACTGAATGAAGAAGGTATATTCCAACTCTGTGTGTAGATTTCTCTTTTCCTTCAGTTCTGTCAATGTTTTTCATGTATTTTGTTACTCTCTTATTAGGTGCACACATTTAAGATTGCCATTTGCTCCTAATGAATGGACACTTCTATCATAGTGCCTTCTTTTTTTAAGATTTTTATTTTATTGATTTTATTTTTTTAAGAGAGAGAGGAAGGAAGAGGAAGAGAGAGAGAGAGAGAGAGAGAGAGAGAGAGATCTATGTGAGAGCAAACATTGACCTCCTGCACACCCTCTACTGGGGATTGAACTTGAAACCCAGGCACGTGTCCTGATTGGGAATCAAACTGCCAACGAGATGATTTCCATCTTTGCTTCCACCGAGCTAGTAGAGGTATTATTTTGCCTGAAAGGTATTAAAACTAAAAAGTATTTTCAGCCCTGGCCAGTTTGGCTCAGCGGTTAGAGCATCGGCCTGTGGTCCGGAGAGACCCGGGTTCGGTTCCCGCTAAGGGCACGTACTTCGGTTGCAGTTTGTCCCCGGCCCTGGTTGGTCGTGCGGGTGGCAGCCACTCGATGTGTCCTTCACGTCGATGTTTCTCTCTCTCTCCCTTCCTCTCTCTCCCTCCCACTCTATCTGTACAAAAAAATGGAAAAATGTCCTGGGTGAGGATAAAATAAAAAGTATTTTCAGGTGGTGTCAGCTTGCTAAGAATTGTGGAGTTTTTTTTTTTTTTTTTTTTAACTGTCTTTATTATTATTTTTTTAAATCCTCACCCGAGGATATTTTTCTCTTTATCTTCAGACAGAGTGGGAGAGGGAGAGAGAAAGGGAGACAGAGAGAAACATGGATGTGATAGAGCCACATCGACTGGCTGCCTCCCGCATGACTCCGACCAGGGCTGGGGCTGAACCGCAACCAAGGTACGTGCCCTTGACCAGAATCGAACCTGTGACTCTTTGGTCCTTGGGCCAATGCTCTAACCACTGAACAAAACTGGCCAGGGCTTAATATTTTTACACAGTGGAAGAATTCTATGGCATTTTGATCTGAAAAGCTTGGAATTCGCTAAAGTGAAAGTTCCAGTCTGAGAGCCAAGCGAATGCTAGTTTTTGTTTCAAATTCCAAGTGTATGACTTAAGGCAGGTCATAAAATCTATCCCAGAAGAACAAAGACAGTCATGTTTATCCTAATCTACAACTCATGGAATTTTATACTTGGACATGATGTTAGAGATTAGCTGCTCCTACCTGGTAATTTTATGGATAAGCAGACTGAGGTTTTGAGAGGTTAAGTGATTTGCTAAAGACATTCAGCTGGTTCGTAACGAAGCTGGAATTTGAATTCTGGACCCTCGCGTCATTGATCTGCTATGATTCTTGACTCAAGTATGGCCAATTTAGAGAGCATTTAGAAGGACTCCAAAATTCCAAAATAATGAGTCAATATAAATCTTTACTAATATAAGTTACTAAATATTTAAAAATTTAAAAATGCTGTTTAAAAATTTTTAAATGCTTTACATAAATTTCAAATAGCAGTGTTTATCTTCTATTGCTAAGTTTGTATTCAAGCAAATATATCAGGGGAGCCCCATAAATCCTGGTCAGGTACCACACAAACTGATTTGAAGAAAATATCATTCTCCTATTTAAAATTGTTTTCCTTTATTGATTTTAGAGAGAGAGGAAGGGAGAGGGAGAGAGAGATACAAACATTGAGGAGAGAGAACATCGACTGGCCACCTCCTGCATGCCCCCCACTGGGGATTGGGCCCACAACCTGGGCATGTGCCCTGACCAGGATTCGAACTGGCGACCTCTTGGTGCATGGGTCGACGCTTAACCACTGAGCCACAACAGCCGGGCTCCTTCTCCTATTTATTATTGACACAACAATATCAATTTGTCTAGTTCTCAAAGATTACAAATTGTCATTGTGGGGTAGGCAGTTAGACAGACATGATTAGCTCAGGTATGGAGGGTCACCAGGGCTGAAAGCCTGAGGTACCTAGCAACAGGCAAAACTGGGAAGCAAGTGTTGTAGGGTGGGACCTGGCCTCGTGTGTCTTTTCCTCCCCTAGCATATCAATGGTCATGGGGTTTGGTCCCTCCCCTGACCTTTCTTCCTCTGGTTCATTGCTAGTCATGTGGTCAGTCCCTTTAAAGGAGGGATAAAGTGGCCAGAGAATAGATTAATCAGTAGAGACCATGACCCTAAAGGGACACACCTGGAAAAATGATGAATATTCTATTGAGATCCTTCCCTGAGACCTCCCCCACTAAAATCCCCACTGGTAAAAACCCTCAAGATAAAGGACCCAGCATGTTCTTTCTCTTGCGCATGCTCTAGGCTTTCCTCAGGACACGCGTGCTCTCTCTGGACCATGCTGATGCCTTACCCCTCTCCTTCTTCCAAGTGCGGTTTTCTTTGCTTGTCTTTCTCCTAAGCTCCAAGGGCCCTTCTTTTGCCTCTGTAACTTATTTCCTGCGCCCACACAGCCCAGCTGGCTCACTTCTTCCATGGCTTCTACCTCTGTGACTTTCTAAATAAACTTGTTCCTTCAATTTGAGTTCCTTGGCTCTGAATTCTTTCTTTGCCAAACTCAAGTACTGAGGTTGCTGAACCGAGGTCCAATCGCCAGTAACACCTGGTGCCGTTTTGCTGCTAACAATTAGATCCTCACAAACAGTACTATAAAAATAACATATTTACTGAGTAATTTCTATATGCCAGGAACTCCTCTAAATGTTTTACATCTGTTAACTTTATCCATACAACAGCCCTAGTTCCTATTATTGCCTTCATTTTATAAATGCACAGAGAATTAAAGTAAGCTGCTCAAGGTCACACAGCCTTGAGATAGAGTAGGAATTGGACCTAGACTGGATAGCCTTAGCACTTTATCACAGTTTCTTAGGTAGATATCTTCTTTCCTTGCGTGCCAGCCTCCCCCCCACTCCGTACCCCGTGCTTCTATTTACACAGAACACTTTACGCAAGTACCCATTCCAAGGCCATATGACACATTACACAACTTGTCACTGGCCAGGTCTAAAGCATTAGGGGAAACACATTTCTCAAGGTGTTAAGAAAAATCATGATAATTTTTCTGATAAATAAAATGAAAATATTTAGTTTTTTGACTGTTATATTTGAGCCTTCAAATATAAGCAATGAGACAATATATCGTTTTTTATTTTACCTTTATTGTAAATGGATCTTTTCTCTATTACACTTTTCAATTTGCCAACATTTATTTTGGAAAACAATTATATATCATTATTCTCTCTATACACTACTAAAAAAGAAAAGAAAATCAAGAGACTGAGAGAATAAGAAGGCATGCCACAGACTGGGAGAAAATAACTCCTTTATATTTTTGAATTCGAGAGGCAATATCTCTGCCTTTATTTGGGGACACTTTCTTTTTAAAAAATTTTTTTATTGATTTTTTTTTTTTTTTTTTTTAGAGAGAGTAAGGGAGAGGGAGAGAGAGAAACATTGATGCAAGAGTGAAACACCAGGGATCGAACCGACAAGCCCAGGCATTTACCCCAATCGGGAGTAGAACTGCAACCTTTGGGTGCACAGGATGATGCCCAACAGAGCTACACAGGCCAGGGCTATTTGGAGGCATTTTCATGGCTGAACCAAATGAAACTCAAACACTGAATACTCAAATATTCCAACCTTTTGGCAGGATAGCAAAAGGGGCCTTGATCAGCTCTTTGTTTCCACTTCCATCCTGATCCCTGTAACACCTCCTCCCCCATCCGAGTTAAAAGAAAGTTTCCACAGAAGTGATTAAAAGTCATCTGCAATCTTCTATGAGATTCCTCACTTGGCTAATGCACTTACTTTCTAGAAGATCAAGTTCATTGCAATAATTTCATGGCAATTAATCTTGTGCTTAAATGATAATCCTATAATTAGAAGCAATTAAAATTCTGCATAGGCTCAGTCAATGTCAATGTCCCTACATACTCACGGGGTACTCTTGAAAGAGGCCCCAGAAATAATTTGTTTCTCCCCTTCTCAGAGGTGCAAGCATGCAAAGGCCATTTGAAGAATGCTTCTTCATGGCAGGAGTCACTGAAGTCAAAGTGAATGGACTGAGGTCCCTGTGCAAAGAATCCAGGAGCTTGAGATCATCTTCAGCAGGAGAGAGAGAAGCCATGTCACTGTCAGCTTGGCTATCTGTGACAGTGAGCTTTTCGCCAGTGACCTCGGCCTTCAGGCAGACTGCCCCTCTTCTCTGTGTGGTCCATTCCCGCAGAGGCTGGGGACCTTGACCACACAGCGGTGGTGCACGTTCATACTGCACGTGTCACATTTCATCCCTTGACGGATCATTCCATACAGCAGCGACCCACAGTGATTACAGAAGGTGGGCCTCCAGTAAGTGTGCGCTTTAAACTTGTGCTTGCTCCTGGGGTCATCAGTGTCGGGTCCCTTGTCCGAAACCCGACAAGGGAAAACAACAGATTCATGGCACCTCTTGTGAACCGCAAAAGAGCAAGCTTGGCACTGGTAGCCTTGTTTCCCTAACCCCCAGATGAAGCCGGTGCAGTGGCTGCAGAAGGTGGGTTGCTTGAACACGCGGGCGACGAATTTGTGGCCCTTCACCTCGTGCACTTTCTTCTGTCTCAGCGTCCCTCTGCGGGCCAGGCGTCTGTCCTGGGACTCCTGAGACGCGGGGGGGACGTCAGCCATGGTCCTTCCCAGCTACCTCTGGCCTCGGCGGGGCGTCGGCGGGAGGCGGAGGTCCCGGGGGAGTCGCGGCGGCGGGAGGCGGAGGTCGAGGAGGAGTCGAGGCGGCGGCGGGAGGCGGAGGTCCGGGGGAGTCTCGGCAGCGCGGCTAGGGAGTCGGGCTGGCGGGCGGAGAGGGCGCTGGAGCTGCTCAGGCGCTCGCAGGCCCCGCGCGCGGATTTTGTAGACGGGGTGGCAACGCCCACCGCGCCCGCCCCAGTGCCAGTGCGGGGGCGCGCGGGGCGGGGCACGCGGGGGCGAGTGCGGGCGGGGCGCGCCTGCCGTGGGGGTGGCGGCTAGGGGTTCGCGGGGGCGAGTGCGGGCGGGGCGCGCCTGCCGTGGGGGTGGCGGCTAGGGGTTCGCGGGGCGGGACGAGGCGTGTGCCTGCCGTGGGAGTGGGCGTCTAGGGGTTCGCGGGGCGGGACGAGGCGTGTGCCTGCCGTGGGAGTGGGCGTCTAGGGGTTCGCGGGGGCGGGACGAGGCGTGTGCCTGCCGTGGGGGTGGGCGTCTCGGGGTTCGCGGGGGCGCGCGGGGCGGGATGAGGCGTGTGCCTGCCGTGGGGGTGGGCGTCTCGGGGTTCGCGGGGGCGCGCGGGGCAGGATGAGGCGTGTGCCTGCCGTGGCAGTGGGCGTCTCGGGGTTCGCGGGGGCGCGCGGGGCGGGATGAGGCGTGTGCCTGCCGTGGGGGGGGCGTCTAGGGGTTCGCGGGGGCGCGCGGGGCGGGATGAGGCGTGTGCCTGCCGTGGGGGGGCGTCTAGGGGTTCGCGGGGGCGCGCGGGGCGGGGCGCGCCTGCCGTGGGGGGGCGTCTAGGGGTTCGGGGGGCGGGACGAGGCGTGTGCCCGCCGTGGGAGTGGGCGTCTAGGGGTTCGCGGGGCGGGACGAGGCGTGTACCTGCCGTGGGAGTGGGCGTCCGAGTTGGCAGAGCGGCCCGGACAGCGGGGGCGGCGGCAGCGGCCGGGCAGTGCCGCCGGAATTGGAGGCGGAGGCGGATGTAGGGCAGCGAACCCGGTCCCCTCGCGGGCTTTCTCTTTCCCTCCTTTTCCTGCTCTTTGTCGGCCCGCCTCTCCCTCCTCGCAGGCTCCTCCTCCGGCTGTGCCCGCTCTGCCTCCTCCCACCGGCTCGCTGCCTCCAGGCCTCTTCCTCCTCCGCGCTCCTGCCTGGCTCCGGGGCGAGGTGGGCGCCCCCGTGCGTGGCCGGGAGCCCCAGGCCGGGACGGGGCTCCACGCTGCCTCCGTGGCCAAGTCCTGGAGCCCCGCCTGCAGCCCTTTCCTCAGCGTTATCAGCTTGAGGTTTCCCCTGGCTCAGTCCAGGCCAGTTGTGGATGCCCTAAAATGCTCCTAAAGAAGTCTTACAACTCAACAGTAAGAAAAACAAAAAACAATTAAAAAATGGGCCAAGGACCTTAATTGACACTTCAGCAAACAAGATATACAGATGACAAGCATATATAAAGAGGTGTTTCACGTCATGTATCATCAGGAAAATGCAAATCAATACAATGAGATGCCACTGCATGCCTATCAGAATGCCCCAAATCTGAAACAGTGGTAACACCCCGTGCTAAGGACGAGAAGCAATAGGAAATCTCATTCACTGCTGGTGGAAATGCAAAATGGTGCAGCCGTTTTGAAAGACAGCCTGACAGTTTCTCACCAAACTAAACCTGCTCTTACCATGTGCTCCAGCAATCACACTTTTTGGTATTTACCCAAAGGTGTTGAGGGCGATGTCCACACAAAATCCTGCGTGGATGTTCATAGCAGCTTTATTCATTGTTGCCAAAACTTGGAAGCAACTAAGATGTCTTTCAGTAGGTGAATGGATAAATAAACTAAGGTTCATCAGACAATGGGATATTTTTCATTTCTGAAAAAAAAAAAACAAACAATGAAGCCATGAAAAGGCATGGAGGGAACTTAAATGCATATTACTAAGTGAAAAAAGCCAGTCTGAAAAGGCTACATACTGCTGATTCCAACTACATGACATTCTAGAATAGGCAAAACTAGTGACAATAAAAAGATCAGTGGTTCCCAGGGGAAGGGTTGAACAGGTGGAGCACAGAGGATTTTTAGGGCAGTGAAATTGTATGACGCTATAATGATGGGTACATTTTATACATTTGTCCAAACCAGTAATTTTCAACCTTGTTCATCTCATGAAATTACTAAATTCCATCTCAACTAATTACTAAAATTCTGCCGCATATCAAAAATATATATATTTTTTGCTGACCTGACAAAAAATAGGTATAATTTTGATTCATTCACATTGGACGGTTATTGTTGTGTTAGCTATTGTCATTTTTTCATTTTACAATCTAAGGGGAAAGAGGTCCGTGCTCCTGACTAAATAGTCAGGTATTGCATGTTTTAAAAATTCTTGTGGTACACCAGTGTGCCTGCTGTGGCACACTGGTTGAAAATTGCTGGTCTGCCAGAGACAAACTAGTAGGGTACAGACTGACAAACCTCAGAAGAGGGGGACTGGGGGGAGGGAAAAGATAAACCATAGAACTTATGTGCATGCATGAGTAACCAGTGGACATAGACAACAATGCTGGGGGTGGGGTGGGGGCAGGAACGGGAGGAGGGTGTCAATGGGGGAAAAAGGAGAAACATCTGTAACAAAAATAAATTAATAAAAATTGCAAAATAAAAATAAAAAATTGCTGGTCTAAACCCATGGAATGTACACCACCAAGGGTGAACTTCAGTGTAAATCATGGACTTCAGGTGATCATGATGTATCAATGTAGGTTCATCAATTGTAACAAAAGTATCACTCTGGTGGGGAATATCGATAATGGGCGCACGGTGTATATGGGATATCTCTTGATACCTCTTAATTTTGCTGTAAATCTAAAATTGCTCTAGAAAAATAGACATAAAATAGATAAAAGAACAGAGATGCACAGAACCAAGTGACCCATTGTACGTAATGGAGCTGGCAAGGAATGAGTTTAGGAGAACTGGACCGAGTGAAAGACAGATTTTTGGGTGGAGATAATGAGTTCAGTTTTATATCTTATCATGTTTTTTACGGAGTACTTTCATCTGTGAATAGTTCATAAGCTAATTCTCACAACCACCTTATGAAGTAGGTGCCGTGTTTTCCCCATCCCATAATGTGGAAACTAAAGCTTAGGGGAGGAGTCAGCAACCGAAGCCTCATTCTGAGAAAGAGACGGAGCTGGGACTTGAACCCAGGTGGATCTGGCTCCGAGTGATGTGCTCCTAATCATCCCGCTCCACTGCCTGTGGGGTGCTTGTGGGGTCAGCGCGTAGACGCGGCCTCAGGTCGCTTCCAATAAGTCTGGAGTCCAGGATTAGGGATGAATGTGGAGGTAACTGTGGATGGGAAGTGGCCACTGAGTTGAAGATGAACTGAAAAGATGACGAAGGAGATGAGAACTTGCACGTTGGATGAATCTAGGTAAGAGAGACACTGTGAAAGGGAAAGGGGCATGCTATGCCCCGTTGCTGTGTGGGCCCAGGGTTGTTAGTTATCTGTTACAGGTGCGTTTATTGCAGGGGTGTCTGGAGTAGGGGACACGCTGTCCCTGGGCCTTTTAGGAATACACGTATGAGACAAATCACCGGTACGCGTAACCAGTGGACATAGACAACAAAGCTGGGAATGGGGCAGGGGGTGGGGAGGAATCAGGAGGAAGGTGTCAATGGGGGAAAAAGGAGAAACATCTGTGACAAAAATAAATTAATAAAAATAATTTTAAAAAAAAGACAAATCACCAGCATTAGTCATCAGTTAAGATTTAAGACATGAAAAATCCCCTTAAGCTATCCACTGAAGAAATCCAATTTAAAAAAGTCTTGTCTTACTTCCTAATCAGGTCTTTATGACACGTGTAACAACCAACGGAATGGCTCTATTTAGGAAGATTTCATCATGCTCAGGAAACCTGGGCGTACCCATCAGGCTATCTAGACCCGGACCTCTTGTTTCAGGTTCTGTGTTCAGTTGTCCCTTCCTTGTGCTCTGGGACAGGACATGTGTCTCCAGCCGGCGTGAGAACCGGGGCTGTGCAGCTGCTTCTGGCCTCTCCCCACCGGAAGCTGGCAGCTTTGGGGTCTTTCTTAGACGCTTGGCTTTTGGTTTACCTGGCACCTGATTCCCATGGCTTCTCTTGAGCCCTTCCTACTGGGGTCCCTCTGTGGGAGGGGCTCCAAACGTAGCCTGGAACTGAGAAGAGATTTTAGAAAACAATTCTTGGCTTCCTTTAATTGATCTCAGTTTATAATTTTCATGTCAGGGGGATCACCAGGAAATTATATATTTTTAAAAGGCATTATCTAATAATCTCATGACAGTGTCATTTTATGTTGATGGGGTAATTTGTCCCTTTAGAAAGAGCTATTTCTTGAGTAATTAGTTTGGGTACTGTGTGACAGGCTCAGACTATTTTAGGACTCCGTGGCCGTGTCTCATGCAAGCATTTACCTTGAAGATCATGCCTGTGGCAGGTGCTGCCCGTGACTCATTGCTCTTCCAGAAGTTTCTGTACTGTTCATGTCTTCAGCAGAGGACAGCTTATGACAAGGATGGCTTGGAGGATTGGCTGCCAGTGTGATTCTTATGTAGGACTGTCATGAAAGACTGACTAGATTTTCTGGTGACAGCCCAGGAAATTCACGAGATGGGAGGAAATATGTGATAGCCAAGTATTACGTCTTATAGTTTTATAGACGTCTTCCCATTGGAAGCTGCCTCACTTAAACTCACAGGGGTTTTATGTAAAGTTATCTTTATTTATGGTTTCTAAAATGTAGACTTCATTTATATGAAAAGGAGTAAAGAGACATGAACTATGTACATTTATTTTAAAGTATTTAGGAAAACCCTTCCAAACTTGACAAAACACAGTGCACACTTCGCAAAAACAGGGTGATGAAAAATGTATTAAAATAATGTTTCAATCTCCCAACTTCCGTCTTGTCCATACCTTCATCTATAGTGACCAGCATGGTCCAGGCCGGTTTGGCTCAGCGGTTAGAGCATCGGCTTGTGGTCCA